TTATAACGTCTCCCCACGTACAGCGGATGGAAGAAGTTGAACCATTGTTACAGAATGTCTTTCCCTTCCGATTCCCAAAATCTGTTTGGAAAGTTATGGAAATACCATTCCGAGATCGACCCCTTTCTTGTCCAAGAGTCTGGCCTATGGTGCCCATTGTAGGACATCTTTCCTACGTGACACATCCATCTTTCAGCTAGAGCAGTGACTTTCGTGGGGTCAGACTGGGGAAGAATGGAGAGTCATAAAGTGACACTAGGCTCAGGGGTTAAATCCTAAAAATTAGAGGTGAACCAAAATGAAAATTTCCAAAAGGAAACCAAAATGAAAAAATGTCAGGCCGAAACCGAAAATGTTTTTATTCTTACTTTTTAAACCTTTTTAAATATTGTATTTTTTATTTCATTTTTATTAAATTTTTTATTTTTTACTTTTAGGGGCTTTGGGGAAATATTAGGGGTCTAAACAGACCCCTGATATTTCCCTTTTAAAATAAAGAGATTGAGGACACGGAGTCCTCAATCTCTTTTTCTGCAGCCCTTGTTGATCAATGAACAGGGATCCTCTATACTGAGTGTTCCTGTTCATAACATGAGGATATAGTCTGTTTACTATAACCACAATCATGAATGAACAGGAGGTGATGTAGATCACTTCCCATTCATTCATGATTGGGGATATAGTAACCATACTCTGTCCTCCAATTTTTTTTACAAACACTCAGCGATCACTGAGTGCTTGTACCTGCTCTCCATCCTGTGACAGCGCTGCAAGCGCTTCGCCGCCTGTGACAGTCTCTCTCCTCCCCACTGGGACACAGAGCAGTGCCCAGCGGGGAGGAGAGAGAGATTGGATGCACCGCTATTTCGGCCAGAAAATGGCACTTTCTGCATTTTGCCAAAAGTACAATTTTTATATCTGTGCATCCCTACTAAAAATGCATTCAAGTCCCTTAACTATTAACAAAAATGTATCTTATTTGTCTATCACTCGGCTGTAGATCCTCAAACCATCTCTGAATTGGTGCTGACACTGTCCTTCCTTCTGGAGGGGGGCTACTTTTGTTCCCCATGGTCCCTGTGTGTGTTGTAAAGTAGTCACTGCCCAAAGTTCGCTCCAGTGATGGACTACAATCTCAATACAAATTAGTAAACTGATCATGAGATTGTAGTCCATCACGGGAGTGAGCTTGGAGCGGTGACTACTTTACAACACACACAGGGACCATGGGGAACAAAAGTAGCCCCCCTCCAGAAGGAAGGACAGTGTCGGCACCAATTCAGAGATGATTTGAGGATCTACAGCCGAGTGATACACAAATAAGATAGTGTTGTTAATAGTGAAGGTAGTTGAGTGTATTTTTGGGGTTCAGCTCCTTGTGTCACTTTAATTACGGATTAAAGGAAACCTTTGAGAAATATACAAGCTTCCATTGCTGACCTCCTTTTGACAGATCTCATTCCGGCGTTTTTTCTGACTTAAATACTTCAAGTGACTAACCCAGGAGACAGATATAGCAAGCTAAATCAGAACTCCTCATCGGCACTGTTCCTGGAGAGTGTCTTGGAAAGTTTAGAGGCCAAAGTGTGACAACCAAAGTACTAGACCAGATTGTATTTCTGTCATTAGGTGGAGCAAGAGAAATTTGTGTACCAATACATATAGACAAAGATATAAAAATGGGAATAGATGATGCTTAACATTAAAAACAAATGCTACATTTAAAATCAAATAATTATCAATTACTACTGTGAATATTCTATGCGTAGTGTTATTTATAAAAAAAAATATTTATTTACAAATGAAGATGAAACATTTTTATTAGCCCTGATGAAGGGGGGACAGATCTGCGAAACACGTTGACTGTTCTTGAATCTTAAGCCCCCGTTCACGCCTCTGCAATGTGACATGACAGAGGTGCTGCAGGATGTGTTTGTGGTAGGCAGCCCTTTCATCTGACTGGGCTGCACTACCACAGCTAAATCACACTATGAAAGTTCATGCAACTTTTTTTGTTTTTAAATCGCATTGTATGGTAATAGGTTACCATGTGACATGGGGGCGGTGCAACACGCATGCAATGGCTAGGTGCAATAATGGCTCCGCAGTGCACCTAACATTGCGACATGCGATGCAGAATCACGCGGGGTATTGCACATTGCGTAGATGTGAATGGAGGCTTCCATGTGATGAGGGGGGATGTTAGTGAATAGTACAAACATTGCAACTTTATAAAGATTACTGCGGGATGGAGCGTTATTTTGGACGTAGGCAATGTCTCTCCTGATGGAGTGGAGCACTCGTATTCTTATTGCTTCACTCTATATACAATATGTGAGATTTATAATCTGTCAAGCGAACAATCTTTTATTGCTCTGATACAGACTGTAAGCAGCATCCATAAGCGCCCCATTTCTCTGTATAATCTCTACATCCTTGCTGCAGACTTTACAGTAAGCCTGTCGAGAGAGAGAGAGATGAATGGACAAAAGGTCTGACTCTCCGCTGAGAGTCTGGCCAGATGTTTCTCTGGAAAAGGTGAACTGTGGAAATCGCCATTTTTAGATTAGGGAATGTTTTATCGAAAACCGAAAGATTGCCTTTTCAGCTCATTGAGCCTCAGTGTTTCCCCCTCATTTGGGCAGCAACAAGTCCTCCTTCTAGAACCTGTGTGCAATCTGCAAAGATCTGAAAGACTTGATCTTTTTCAGCATGACCATTCTTTCCGTTCATCGCTGCAGTGTTTCCTGTACCTTTCTCTCTCTGCGTTGTGTGTGTGGAAAATTCTGCTTTATTTAGTCCTGTACTGACTGAGAAAGCTTTTGCTGTATGAAGAGCTGCAAGTATCGGTTAATAATTTATACGGGGCTGTTCTTGTGTGGGAGCTCTTGATATGAAGCTGAATGTGATGTATGTGAAGCAGGATAACATGGAGCTTCTATCTCCAAGATGTCTGAACAGATGTGTTGTCGGATCTCCGTCAGACCTGTGTGAGATTCTCATTATTCCTTTCCATCAGCGCAACCTGGCTGACCGTGCTTTGATGTCCGTGTACACCTCAGTCTCTTCCTTTCTCCTTCATCCAACCACAGATACCAGCAGATTCATACGTGATCATTTTTATGGCCAAAACAATTAGAGAGTGATGGCATTTCATGGTAAAATGTTTACTGCTATTTGGACATAGGAGGTTCAGCAGGTTTTTTGTGCTGTTTTGTGTTCTTTAGTGATTGGCACCGAGAGTGGTTTTCCCTCAATGTCGGCTGCACAAAAGGAAATAACATTTCTTGATTTGTAGAGTACAGGACACAGGCAGATTCAAAGACCACCGTGTAATATGGCGGTATCATCAGGTGATTGGACACTGGCCAGAGCTGTAGGGCTCTATATTTCCCCTTCCACAACAGGAGATCCTCTGTTGTTGTTCCAGTCATTGAGCAGGGGTGGGCAAACTCCGGCCCTTCAGCTGGAAGTTCAAATCCCATGACGCATTGCAAGAGCCTCATGGCCATCGGCCATAGAGGATACGGAGGTGAGGGTCCTGTACTGTACGCCAAGAAAAGGAGTTTACAGGCAAGTCCAAAATTCAATGTGCATGGCCATAAAGTACAGAACACAGGCAGATTCAAAGACTGGGATGTGATAGGACGGAGAGGTAGGTAACAGAAGAGAGGAGACAACCATCACCTAAGGACACTGGGGAAAAAAGAGGATCTCCTTTTGTTGGAGGTGTTATATGGGGTCCTAGAGCTCTGTCCAGTCCATCCTCAATAAGCAAGGAGTATAAGGGCTAGTTCACGCCAGCAGCCACGCTAAACCACCCGTCTGCTGGTGTACGTGTGCCTATACAGTGCCGGTGCGTTTGAGTCGCATCGCATGTTTTGTTACTGTATTGAAATGTCACAAGTGACTTTGCTTTAAGTTCTATATGCTGAAGTGGTGTGATGCGGTTGTACCACATCTCACTATAGTACACTTATAGTATGGCAGTCAGTATTTTTTTTTTTTTAAGTGCACACCATCGGAAAGCATTGGTGTGAACTATCACCATCCATGACCAGGCAAATTGTCCTATCTTGCTTCGTGCCACCGCAGCCTGAGTGCTGATGGTGGGAACAAGCCCTTACACAGGTTCCGGCACACAGCTTGATGTTCCGATCCTTTATTAAATATCAGATGAACAGTTAACATCATAAAACCACTAACGCGTTTCGGCTGCACATGGACTTGGTCATAGCTGAAAAGATATGCATTTTCCTTTCCTTGATATCTGCATGCATGCTCTGTGCAGAGGCAGGAGAACTTGGGCACACAACACCCTGTGTATAGAATTTTAAGGGACATATCATGGCAGTGCTGAAACGGAGCTGTGTATTAATTTAAGGTGTTCTTAATTTAGATAGCCTTTAGGGTAACAAATGTATATCATGTCTTGGCTGGAGTCTGGTTTATTACATGTTGGGAAGAGAACACACTGAAGTGCGTGTTTTAAAGTTCACACAACAAGGGCTAGTTCACACAACAATTAATCGCATCACGGCCGACTCCCTGCGTTCGGGGTTGGGAGGGGGTGTGGAAAATAGCACATGCAGAATTTTTCTGACTGCACCAGAACGCAGGCATAGATGTGCCGCGCGCTCAGATGCTGGTGATCGCACTGCGGATCCGGGGGCGTGGCTGCGTGCCGTTGACTTCAATGCACCGCTATGCCCCCTTTCCGCCTTTGAATGCAGGGAGACCTGCCAGGATGCAATCCAGTGCGTTCCGGCACCAAATTGGGCTGGATCACACTGTTTGTTGTGTGAACTAGCCCTTAAGGAAAACGCACGGCATTGAGTCAGATTTTACCTGTATGACTGCATGGAAAGGAGAATCTGGATGTTATGGGGAATGCACAGCATAACATAACACCCCCCCCCCGTAAATCCTTTTGTAAAAGGTGGAATTTGTACTTCGAGCAACTTGTCTAATATGTGTCTTTTTTTTTTTTTTTCTTCCAGTGAAAGAGTTTCTAGCCAAAGCCAAAGAAGACTTTTTACGAAAATGGGAAAGTCCGCCCCAGGTGAGCAAAAATTCACTTTCCTATTAAAGAGGGTGCCCAGCTCCCCAGAATGGTCTCTGCTGGGACACCATGTGTGTGACTTTAAGCAAACCTGTTGCTTTGCAGAGGTGATATATGGTCAAAAATGTAAAATAAATGTTTCTATATTGAGTTTCCATACATTCTATCTCTCTACTAATAACCAGATCCAGCTAGAAGTTTGTAAATTGACTTATTGAAGATGCCCATAGGATGCACTTCCTCAATGCACTGACACACTTTCACTCAGCCCTGTGAATATGCACTTCACTCAGACTGAGCCTGTCTGAACTTCCCACAATGTAACATTATCATTGCTTGCTGGAAGCAATGCATGATGGGATATGCAGCCTTGAGAAATGGAGATTGCATCACATCAAGCAGCAGGGAAAGAGATGCAAAGCACACTGGGAATCCAGGAAGTTGATGAAAGTGATGGGCAGACGCAAGACAGTTCTCAGTACATAAAAGGGATTTTTCTAGTAAGCTCTGATTGCATTATCAGAAATAACTCCAGTATGTATTCCTATTACAATGCTGATGTCATAACAAGAGAGGATATGCTGGGACTTTAGATCTCCTCCTTTAAATAATCAAGGCAAATATGAAAGACACAATGGAAGTACCAGGTGTAGGTCCCTAATTTGTCTTGCTAGCGGCCCTTTTAAAAATCCCTGCCCTGCAGAGGTCAGACTGGGAAAAGGAGAAGCAGCAAAAGGAGCCAGTCAGTTGTTCTGCAATGCTTATGTGCTAACGAGGAGCATGCAGATAGGAGGAGAGAGCATTGTGTCAGATGAGGCCATCACTATGCTGCTGCTTCTTTCACTGCCAAGTCACAGTAGATGGGATAAGACCTGCAGCAGCATAGAAAGATCTGGTCTCCAGACCGGGCTGTGCTGTGTAATAGAGCTGTATAACTCTTAATAGTTGATGGGCAAAAATAGAAGTCCTTTGACATGTAATTCAGCTCCCATATATGTACTTCCTCTGTGCATACAGCAGCTCTTTGCCTTGAGTTCAGCTTCAAATGCCTCTTTCCTCAGCTGTACTTACTTCACTTTCCTTCACTCCTCCACGTCTGTTTAACAACCAGGAATTGAAAAATAGCCAAACTTTATGGGGATGTAGAACGTGTGACTTTCTCCTCTCCTATGTGGCGGTGCTTAAAGGAGAAATATGCGGTGAGGGAAAAACACTCTCCCCCATAACTCAAGCCGAACTGAGACACTAAAGCTGTCACAGATCGGCTTTATCGATTGAAGAGTCAGCAAACCAACATACCGCCGATCACTGACTTCCCAATCCTCTTCCTGCAGAGGACTGTCATTCACCACAGGGATACCCCCCCTCTCCGTTTCTCTAGCTCTGACTGGAGGAATGAATGAGGAAGGGGGGCGGGCACAGCTGGCTCTTTCTAGAGAGGCAGAGCCTGCTGTCAATCAGCCAGTGGGGGTGGATCTCAACAGTATTGTCAGGATCCATCCCAGGTGCTCTGCACTCTCAGCATATAGCATATGTCACAGGAGGACATTAATATATATGTTTTGTTATTATATATTATACATTAGTACAGGGCTCAAAATTTCCACTCGCCCGCTCGCATTTGGCGAGTGGAAATAAAGAGAGGGCGATTAGTATATATCCTATGGTCAAAAAGGGTTGGGCCAAAGTTCTCCCTTATTGATTGACCTATTGCTGTCATGTGGGGGTGACAAGACATACCTGTGCAGGCTCAAGGTGGCCATACACTTTACAACCATCGCAAGACCTTAGTCTTGCGATGGTTGTAAAGTAATTTTAAAAACTTACGATCTGCCCATCTTGGACAAGCAGATCGTACTTGCGATCATCGCAAGCCCGCCCATGCGCACACCGGCCCGTTCGGCATTTGTCTCCCGAGCATGCCACAAACCAGCCGCAAATCGGCTGGTTTTCTAGCATGCTCCTTAGACAAAAGACGTGTGACCGTACAGTAAAAACGGTTGCACGCCTGCCATACACTTTGCGATTATCGTGCGATCACGGGATTTCCCACGATTATCGTGCGATAATCGCACAGTGTATGGGCACCTTTTAGACTGGAGGGACTCGGCTTACACAGGTCTTTACTTCCTCATTCCCAGTGAGGATGGTTCCTGTTTTCTTAGCACCATCCAGCCGTAAAGTTGATTCTAAAAGTTGACAAGCTGGGTCGAGAATTATCTGATAAGGAGTGACTGCATCCTATCAGTTGCACTGCTTGGGTATTTAAGGCAGCTTCAGGCGCCACACTCCCTGCGTACAAAATATTCATCCATGCTGTTAGTGTAAATGTGGTCATTGAGAGCTTTTTGCTCGTCCAGTCCGCTGGCTAATGAGTGAAAATCTGTATATACGGGGCTACCTTCAGTCAGGGTTTTTTACGTACTAGTTTCAACGATTTATCCCTCAGAAAATTAGTCTACACCCTGCAGAATATCCCTTTTTATCCTTCATTCTTGAGCCTCGCTAAAGGGGGTCCCTTGGAACCTCAAACATGTTTGTTTTTACTGAACTTACTTAAAAGACTCAATATTGACACAGTTATTCTGTGGGGGGGCTGCATTGGAGCTCCCTGCCTTTCTCATTTCATTTGTATTCTGTCTTTTAATTTCTGAATCTTTCTTACCAAAATAATCACTTTGGCTGAAAGCTTGGTCTGTGGAATGCCAACATGTGTTCAAATTAATACACTTGAAACCTTTTTTTATTCTCCAGCCTGGTATTATTGCATTGTCAAAGCTGCGACAGATGTTCTGCTCTCCACATCTGTGTGGATTTGTTGAACACACCGGTTAGAAAGTTGTGTATGTGACATGTTTTCTTTTTAAAACCTTAAAATCTATTGAAAAATGAAAATGATTACTTACTCCAGTCAAGTGTCTCTGCATGAGCAAGTGTAGCAAATGTTGTGCAAACTTCCAAATAATTTGATCCCCCCAGGAATCTTTAACACCAGGGTGACCTTTTTTTTTTTTTTTAGGCCATATCATTGTCATGCATTCTCCATATAAAGTCTCTACCATGTAATGCCAAATCTCCTGTTCACTCTTCCTTTGTTAGACCCCATTCACACTGAGGTACATAAAAAAAAAAAGAAGCTCTTTCAGCGCTAATTTGAGGTGAGCGACATTGAGGTACAGTGCACATTTTGTCGCGCTACGTAATGCTTCTTTTGGCAGTCTATCAAAGCCTATTGGAGCCAAATCACACAATCTGCTGGAAAAATTGGTCATGTTCAAGCGACAAGCTTGAGCTACAGGCGGCATTGAGCTGTGAGATGTGAACAGCTTCATTGAAATGCATTGGACGATTACATTGAGCAATTTTTTTTTAGCGGAAATCAAGCTACAAATTGCTCAGTGTGAATGGGGTCTTAGGCCCGGTGCAGACCTACGCGATCCAGGATCGCGTGTCCCGGGATCACGCAGCCCTGCACAATGCAGGCCGGGATTGCCGCGTGGCCCCATTGATTTCAATGGGGTGACATCCGCGCGGCAATCACAGAAAGATACATGTACCTTTTTTTTTTTGCAAAAGACGACATGAAGCTGCTTTTAGCTGCGATCTTGTTCGGAATCACGGCGGGAAACCACACAATCCGCCCGGCAAGACTGGGGTGCCATTAGAAAATAATGGCACCCACAGTGCAATTGGTGCACACCTAGGCGACTCCTGACCGCGAGGCGGTGAGGTGTCGCCTAGGTGTGCACCGGCCCTCAGACTAAGTTGGCACCACTCAAGTCACCTTGACCTGATGTAGAACAAACATTTTTCAATATGACCTCTGTCCAGCCAGTGCCTTAATGGTTATAAAGCTTAGTCCTGACTTGCCCTCTTTGTAAAAACCACTGGGATTCTTTGACAGATAGTCCTCTAACCAGCAAATGTAGGCTGTGGTCCTTACCTTTAAAGGGGAACTTTACCCTTATCTTTGAAATGATAACAAAGACACCTTTTAAAAACCTGGCAATTTATCTATAAGTATCTGTAGATTGCCATTACTAAACGTTTCTATTCTTTGCATTCCTTTTTCTTTTCCTCCCCATATTTACAAGCAGCAGGCAAAAGTGCTATAAGATTTTAATATCAGACTATTCTAGTTCTCCTGCACTGCAGTGTTTGGGCTACAAGATGGGCGGCAGCACAATAAAAGGCATGTGGCAATGAGCTTTTGTGGTTGTGCTTCAGGTGAGTTTTGTATTCCCATGCAAGGCTATAGGAATGCAAAGCCTGGTTAATGCAGGTAAAGAGGAGATCACCTGCAGAGCAGATGCACCTTTCAAAGAATTGTGAATGATCTCAGAAGTGTCTCAAATTGATGTCGGCTGATGCTATTGACACATGCCCTAAGTAAATCAGCACTTTACTGCAGAGGGCAATGCTGCTCACACCATGGAGGATTCTTGACAGAAGAGAACAAAGTGAGGAACCAGTCAACTTCCTTTTCCTTCTTTATTATCCAATCACAAGCTGAAATAGATCATAGACCGGGCTCTGTTACACCACTGCACTGAAGTCTGCAGAATGGACTTGGACAATGCTTGGCTCTGCTGACTGGGTCACAGAACCAAAATCATTTGGCAGTTGAAGCTTTTCATACATATATAGCTCAGCTGTGTATTTAGCTGATAATGAGAAAGCAGAACTGTTATTGTAAGCAGAGAACCTGTGTCAGTGTTGGGAGAGGAGCAGGGTTTCACCTGGTCCCATGGGTCCTTGCAGCAAAAGGAGGAGCAGGGTGAGTGGAGATGCCCGGTCACTGCAAGGAAGGGGAGCTGAGCTGCTCAAAGGATTACTTGAATAACTTCTACTCTGAATTTTCAGGATGAATTGCTCCACGGTGCTTGTAGCTGCAGAGGTCAGTGAGGACTTGTTTTAGGACCCATTCACACCACATCCAGATCATCTCCAGACCAGATTGTTTCCGGACCCAAAATGCATCCTAATGTATCCCTATGCCA